ATACTGGATTAATCAAAGTTGCAGTGTATTGGGATATCGAAAACATACAAATACCAAAAGGCGAGTCCGTTGCACGTTTCAAAGAGCTAGTTGATGAATTCATGCTCACAAAACAAGATATATCTGAAGAACTTAAATATGAGGTGGATACTTTTGTGGCCTGCGCAGCCAATTTTGATCGACTGAATGTAAAGGAAGAGGACTTTGAAAGGTTAAAGGTAATTTTATCTATATATGTAACAGTAACATGGGAGATGTTTGTTTGATTTGTTTGTTTGCTATTCACACCTATTAGATCGGGTACTTGCAGGTACGATGCAAGGGAGTTGTTCTAAACGAAGGTTGCTTTTGATTTTCTTTCTAATGAGCAAACTATAGTCCGCTCAATTATCGAGTTTAAAATGACCGACTTGTAACCTTGACTGACCGTGACCAGAATATAAACTACACATATTTTTTTTAAGTTTGAAATAGAACGACTATTTGTAGATGTGACAGAAAGTTGGTATTAGAAAAATACTAAATTATCAGAAATGTCAGGTTAAAGGTTTAAAAATTGAAAAAGCAAATTCGTTACAAACATGCAATGCCGTTCATTAATGCATGTTTTGCGCATTGTCCGAGGCACACGGGCATGTGCTTTTAAATAGGTTACTGCAAAATTATTTTTAACACTGCTATTGCATTATAAGAAAGCGTGCATTTAGTACAAAGAGTTAATAAGAAATCTCAAAGAAAGAGAAATGCAATCTTTGACGGTTAGTTAATTAGATCTACATATATACACATATATAAACGTATATATATATACATATATATATATACATATATATATATATATATATATATATATATATACATATATATATATATATATATATATATATACATATATATATATATATATATATATATATATATATATATATATATATATATATATATATATATATATATATATAATTTAAGCGGGCAAGTAGTGTGTCAGTCCTTCCTTCCTTCCTTCCTTCTGCCATCGCTATAGATTTTGGAACCATAAAAGTAAACATCGCACCATGCAGTGCATTTCAGTGCACCCCAGTGTCTTATTATACGTTAAAGAGTAGAGTTTGTTTATATAACAACATGAGGTTATTTTATAAATGCCACTGTTTTTACTCTTTCACATAACGTCAAGAAAATATTAAATACACGCACACTGCTAAAACACATTTAGGAGAGGAGTAGCGAGGGGGGCATATGTCCCCGGTACCGACATTAGGGGGGCGCCAAAGTGGGTATGAAAAAATGTCCGCGGGTGGGGGGGGGGGTTGGAAATCGAAAGTTTTAGGGGAGGGGGGGGGTGCAAATCGAAAGTTAGAGGGGGGTGCAAATCAAAAGTTTGAGCGGGAGGAATTTCAAATCAAAAGTGGTGCAAATCTAAAGTCTGCGGGGGGGGGGGGGGGGGGGTTCAAATTGAAAGTTTAAGGGGGTGGGGTGGAAATTGAAATTTTGAGGGGAGGCGGTGCAAATCGTAAGTTTGAGGGAGGGTCTAATCGAAAGTTTGTCCCCGGGCCCCGGAAAGGGTCGCTACGCCTCTGTTTTGTAGTCATTCACTGTGTCAGACGCCGGCGCTCGAAAAGGGCGCGATTTGGCGCTATGGGCTAGACAGTGAACAATATGCCTTTATGATTGCATTTAAATTGTGTTGATGTTATGAGTGTTGTGTTTGTTTTTTCGTTGTTTTTTTTGCGTTGTTTGTGTTGTGTACATTTAAAAGAGATTTACCGTGGCGAAGCACGGGATGCAGCTAGTATATATATATAATATAGTGGGCTAGGTAGTGTGTCAGTCCTTCCGTCATCGCTATAGATTTTGGAACCATAAAAGAAAACATCTCACCATGCAGTGCTTTTCTGTGCATCGCAATGTCTCATTATAAGTAACAGATCAGTTTTTGTTTATATAGCGACATAAAGTTGCCACTGTTTTTACTCTATTGCATAACGTAAAGAAAATATTAAATACACGCACATTGCTAAATATATCAAAAAGGATCAATGACAAATATAATCTTCGTTTATATTATTAGAAAAAGTGGATACATTTTAATAATATATTAACAGGAGGGTAGAAACATCAAATTAATTTACCTCTTTTTTTTAGTTTTGACAAAAGAGGTAATTTAAACATAAATTAAACTCACGCTAATTTAAAAAATGTGAATGCAAATCTACTGGCGTCCTAGAAGGAATTAATGTTGCAATAATATAATTAGCAAAATGTTAATACAAATTATGCGGATGTGTACGAGGAAATGTTTGTTAGAATATTATAATTAGCATGGTTTGATAAAAGGCAATCTTTTATTTATTTTTTTCACAGAACGTACTGTTTAATACTTATAATTTTTAATCAACTATTCCGCACTATTATAGACGCGTCATCACGTTCATTGGGCGCGCAAGTGTTTTAGTTATGAAACTCTATTGTAATTTTTTAAAATTTAAAGTACTGGGGAAAAATGTGTGAATTGATAAAGTGATATATGACAGGTAAAACATAAATATTTTAAATACTGCCTATTATTTATTGTATACACTGAACGTATTGTTTACTAATTATTATTCTATCTTTCGGTTTGCGGACAAGCTGGGGGTTTTATAGGAGAGACGTAGCGAGGGAGAGGGGGACATATGTCCCCGGGTGCCGACCTTGAGGGCGCCAAAAGGGGTTGGAAAAAATTTGAGGGGAGGGGGGGGGGGGGTGGAAATCGAAAGTTAAAGGGGTGCAAATCAAAGTTTAAGCGGGAAGAATTTCAAATCAAAAGTGGTGCAATTCGAAAGTCTGAGGGGAGGTGCAAATCGAAACTTTAAGGGGGGGGGGGGGGGTCTAATCGAAAGTTTGTCCCCAGACGCCGGAATGGGTCGCTATGCCTCTCTTTTATAGTCATTCACTGTGTCTGACGCGTCCGCCGGCGCTCGGAAAGGGCGCGATTTGGAGCTACGGGCTATATTGTAAGCAAATGCCTTTATGATTGCATTTAATATGTGTTTATGTTATGAGTGTTGTGTTTGTTTTGTTCGTTTGCTTTTTTTGCGTTCTTTTGTGTTGTGTTTAGTTTTGTTCCCAACTTGGTACATTTAAAAAAGATTTACTGTGGCGGAACACGGGATGCAGCTAGTATATATATATATATATATATATATATATATATATATATATATATATATATATATATATATATATATATATATATATATATATATATATATATATATATACATATATATATATATATATATAGTGGAGAGTCCATATATATTAAATATACGAAAAACACAATAATGTAAGAAACAAACATGTATACATACATGCATAAGTACGTACATAGATACATACACACAATTAATTATCATCTAATTTTCTAATTCTTTCTTTTTGTATAGATAAGAATGGTTACGGTGGCACAAGAACGAAATAGTGCAGATAAAAAAATTTTTGAATTAGCTGGACAATTTTGTAGTGAATACAAAAACTTTGCACAAATTTGGATTATTTCAAGTATGTAATCACCTGTTTCATGTATTTCATTTTTATTTCAATATGTGTATTTAAAAAGTTCTCATGCACCGTTTATATAATGTTTAAAAGCATAGAGAAAATCTGCAAGGCGAAGTGTTATCGCTTAGTTCTTTTCGTTTTTTTTAAATAAAACAAGGGAACTGGGGCTAATACACTCTCTACATAAAACTTATTAGGAAATAGAATTTTTTAGAACATTAAAATATGATTCTCTCTCAGTAAACTTTTTAAAAAAAGTATTTATCCGTAGTTTTGCTGTTGTAAATTCTATTTGTAAAAGGTAAAAGAACTCAGGCAGAACGGAACAACTTGATGAGCAATGCGTCACTTTTAGTTTTACTAAATTAATATATATATATATATATATATATATATATATATATATATATATATATATATATAAATAGATAAATAAATAAATAAATAAATAAATAAATATATATATATATATATATATATATATATATATATATATATATATATATATATATATATATATATATATTTATATATATATAAATATATATATATATATATATTTATATATATATATATAGTGTTTGTGTTTAATAATTTGCAGGTGATCAAAAGCTTCTGAGAAGAGTAGTTCAATTGGCAAGAAGACAAATAGCGACTTTTTATTTTATTTTTGAAAAGGGCCTTATAGATAATCTTAACATAGTAGTACCGGAAGATTACCGCTACTCGGTTCAAGGAATTTGGAAAGTTTGTATCTAAGCAAATTTAAATCCTAGTATTACGTGGTCATTACAAATTAGTTTAAGTTTGCTTGTTCAGTCATTTAGCTTATTAAATACCAAACAAGATATATATTGTCATGGTCATGGTCATGGTCATGGTCATGGTCATGGTCATGGTCATGGTCATGGTCATGGTCATGGTCATGGTCATGGTCATGGTCATGGTCATGGTCATGGTCATGGTCATGGTCGTAGTCGTGGTTGTGGTCGTGGTCGTGGTCATGGTCAAGGCCAAGGTCATTGTCATTGTCAATTTCTTAATATAATCGATTGTTATACTTTAGAAAATCAATTCTGAAATGTTTTGTTGATAAAAGTTGGTGATTGCGTTATTCAGTACAATAGGCTTGAAAAGCTGGTTCCAAATGGTTCGAATTGTTTGTTTGAAGAAAGAACATTTTTCAACCTAAGTTTAATCTCATGTACAAAGTTTAATTCTGTATGTGGTGCCGGACGGACTGACACTTTTAACATTGGAATATAGTTTTAAAAAAACTCGACTTGATCGCCATAGCTTAATGCATCTAAAGTGTTCATTATATAAATTAATAATTTATAAAATTAATATTAAAGGTTTTATACAACACATTTCATTTTCTAAACTTATAATGTAAATAGACGGAATGTGCATTAAACAAACGTGCATCACCCTTCAAAAAATTCTAATTGTGTCTGAAAATTAATACTTTAAGTCATTTAGTTTTAATTACTTCCCTTGATAAATTACAAAAACACAAATAATTCCCTTCACAAAAATCATTGCATGTGGGGGGGGGGGGGGGGATACCTTCTATTACTTTTTTATGTTGGGAAAAAATATTTACATAATTGACATGGATTGATAAAGTGCAATGTGGTAGGTAAAAAAAATAAATTCGGCTTTTATTTAAAGTATGCACTGAACGTACTGTTTACTAAATATTATTTTTAATAAATAACAGTTTAGAAGCCTTTCTAAATGTCCTCTATGTGTACTTCTATCTTTTTCTTTTGCGGATAAACTTGGGTATTATAGCCGTTCACTCAATTGAATCATGAGCCTCCATCGGCGCCCAAAAAGGATGCTTTTTGGCGTCCCAGGCCTTCGCATGAGCGCTATGATGCCTACGTTTGTTTTGAACAGTGCGCTAGGCTATGGATTAGAAGGGTTACTATAATCCTTCACTAAATCGAATCCAGTGCGTCCTCCGGCGCCAAAACAAAAAGCTATTTGGCGCCCCGGGAATTTCTTCAGCACTATTGCGAGTACGTTCGTTTAATTGAGTGCACTAGACTATCGATAAGTTGGGGTATTAAAAGTATTTACTAAGTTGAATCAGGATGTTCTGCTGGCACCCCGGTACGATGCAATTTTGGGATAAACGGTGAGCACTTTGTGTTTATATTTGTATATAAGTTTGTACTTATAATCTGCGTTATTTTTTGCGTTTTCGTTAGCATTTGTATTTGTGTTTGTGTTTTTGTTTGGGTTTGCGTTTGTATTTCTGTTTGAGGTTTTGTTTGGGTTAGTGTTTGTACTTGCGTTATGTTTATATTTGTGTTTGTGTTTTGGATTTGGTTGGTTGTGGTTAGGATTAATTCGAAAATTAATATATTTCCTAAATCCGGGCATTGCCAGGTATATGCCCCTTAATAAACACAGAAATCTGGGTCCTTTACAGATAGGTTTTTTACAGAGGCCAGTGTTGGGCCTGGCCGAAACGGCTAGTATTTTACAAAGTGTGAAATACATACAAAATGACTTCCGGTTGAATTAAGGCTTTATATATTTGAACAAATAATTACTAGCAGTTTAAAATTAATTTAGCTAACAGTTTTAATTTTTATTTGATTTAGATTGGATTAGTAGTCAGTGTGTTGAGATGATAAATGATGTTATGTGACTTAATAAAAATAAACTACTACGCTATACCTCATTGACCGCTAATGTGTATTTTATCATGGAAAACAATTGTTGTGATTTTCATTGTTTTACTTTTCCTTGTTATGCTGGAAAAAGATGGTTCCCAAACAGCTTTAATATATTCTAAATGTAGCTATAATTTTTTGTTTACCATATATTTTTTTAAAAGATTTGAATAACTAGCATGATTACATAGACGTTCAAGCCAATTGATGAAAATGAACCCATGTTACGTTGATGTATGTGGTTGTGTATTTGTATAAGAAAACTCGTCAACAATTAATTATAAGAATCAACTAAAATTGTAATTATACAAATGCGAGCTGCCCGCGCCGTCAGAATACGTAGCTATTAAGTGTTTTATTTTCTACTTTTCAGTCATTCATAATTTTTAAATTCAAACTACCAATGCTGCGACTGAAAATATTTTGCTTTAAAACACTATCAGTAGCTCTCGAAGGACGATTATCCTAACCCTCCCTCCCCTTCCCTCTTCCCCATCCACCTTTGTGAAAGCAGTTTACATCCGACAATGAAAAGATCAAGCCGAACTTGTTATTAACTCCCCGTAGTTTCAGATCGTTTAAAAACTAAATTATCTGCCCATTATAGCATTCACTTATTGGAACTGGCTCTAAGATTGTAAACATTTGGCGTGAGCCACAGCTCACCAGACGGGTGGGGGCGGGATTGCTAGCGATCTGCCTACAAAACGGGGGAGGTGGCGATTCGGCGTGCTTGCGTTGTGTCCCGAAAGGTCCCACCATGAAGGAGAAGAATGTAATTGTAGATAATTACTTCTCTTATGTGTAGAAAAGCAATGTAAACCGTTAAAGTTCTAAAATGTAAATACCTTTCGACTAGTCAATTGCAGCTACCACTTACATAATCATTTCACAGTCAACATTTTTATCTTGCTTTTGCTATTCATAATATAGAAGTGACATAATAGACATATGTATTGATAAATAAAATAATTTGACTTCTGGAGTAAACCTTTTTTGTTAATCTTCACTTGTAATAGAATCTAGTCTTTGTTTTGAAGCAAGTGATACAATAGGAAAATGATAATGCATAAGCAATTTACTTGTGCTTAAAGAAATGTAATTTTGTTCTCATCAATTTTTTTTCTTCTTTTCTTAGCGCACATATACAAAAATGCCAATGGAAACAATTTTAAATGATACAGAGCTCATGATGAATCATACGGTGGATGTAGAGTATGCATAAAATATGTTTTTATTTCAAATCTTAACCATGCTAATAAAACTGATTCCATGTATAAATATAAAAAGAGCCATACGATTTGTATTTGGCTTATCTGGCAAATTATAACTCATAATCTTAAAATAGATTTTAAAAATAATTTACGGTTTAGCAGATGAATTTTCCAAATCAGCATTTTTAAATTTATTCCTAAAAACAAAATTTAATATCATTTAATTTTCATTTTCAGAGTTCTAAAACTTGATTTAAAGGAAAAGGTTTACATCGTCGATGACATTGAATATTTTGGTATGCATGCATTTGAAATTAAATTTTCGCTTGATGCAATAGTAGAATAAATTTGTAGATTGTAGTCTACTTTTATTTGATTTGAAAACTAAGTATAATATCAAGATTGTCGAAAACTGGGTGGAAAATTGCAATTTAAAATTTTACTAATAAATTACATTTTAATGTCTACAATGTATTAATACTATAAATCTATTGATCATATAAGTACGTTATTATGTTTCATGACTACACGTATGTATCCTAAAATTGAAATGCTCAAATATTATACATATTTAAAAAAAAAATCAATAATATAGCTATCCACGATCTTTTTAGTACATATATTAATTTTTTATTTAAAAAAAAACACATACATTTTTAATAGAAAGGTTTTAATTGATTTTTTGCAACTTAAACTATCTATTTTACAGAAACTGACATTGATGTAAGTGATATCAATATGTTGTTTTCTATACCTTAATTATAACATGTAATATTGTCACTTTTTATCAGTTATTTGAATACAAATTCAAATTCACATTCATATAAACTAAAATACATTATATTAGCATAAAAATACAAATTACATCTAAACTTTTGTAGTTGTTTACTTTTGTAGTTCTATTGATCTATACTCTTTAACTTCGATAGTTCCTTAATTCTAATATAACCATTTATAATTACAAAAATTCACGAATATACGAATACAATTTTTCTTTTATATTCTTATGTCCTTATGTACATATGCAAATGTATCTATGTACTAATATATTAATAAGTACAGATATGTACTATTCTATGTATATATACATACACACACACACATATATATATATATATATATATATATATATATATATATATATATGTATATATATATATATATATTCATATATATGTATATGCTTAAATGATTATATGATGAAATACCAAGAGATAAAACGATTATATACATTTAAATAAACTTTTAGCATTATTTACACATATATTTATATATAAATTTATATACATACACACTTATGTATATATATATATATATATATATATATATATATATATATATATATATATATATATATATATATATATATATACGTATACCTGTATAATTGTATATGGATATATGTTAACATGATTTAAACTTTAATACTAATACATTTAAGTCACCATTTTTATTTCAGGTTAGACCACCTGAGGTTTTATCTGTTTGGAAAGCAGGAAGGGTTATATTATTCTGCAGAAATAGGAACAGTGCTAGGTATTTTGTAATTTGGTTAATGAGCTTATTTATTTAAAAAATTTAAAAAATTAAATTGCCTGTAATGGAAAAACTTAGTTTATACAGTCTTATCTGTTATCTATTTCAAGCTATCACCCGATTAAAGCAATCTTTGATTTAATAGAATTTGAGACATTTAAATACACGATCACGGCATCACCAAGCTAATTCATTTCAAGTGAAATATGACTAAAATGAATGTATATATTTGTTCACGCATTTTATCTTTCTCGCATACATAGTATAGAGAAAGTACTTTAATCGTGCAAAAAAAACGAGGTTGATGACATTTCATTATAAGTATTATGTCAAATTTGTAGTTCTGTATCAACTTTTCAGCGATTTCTATTAAATGGAAGTGGAACTTATTCTACTTTTAATATTTCAAAAGCCTAAAACTTGAGACCGATAAATGAAATTTTTATGTGTAAGTAAAATATCTAATTATCTGTCTTCTGTAAAATTTTGAGTAATATCCGTTGACCGGAAGTAGTAATTTACACTATTTCCGATTTCTCAAAAAACGCATTTGAATTTATAAAGTACTAATAATATTTCGCACTATTATATACAGATTGTTTGGCGTTCATTTGCTGTGCAATTTTTGTTTCTACGGGATTCTATTATATTTTGAAAAGTTTCAGTAATTAAATATGGATTAAAAATCATGTCTATTTCCCGAGGTGCCATCCCCCGTATTGTTATATAAATATATCCCAGAAAATTTAGGGGAGATCACTCCCGGTTTATTATCTTAATAAAAAGTTGGGTGAGACTTTTTCTTTTTGAAAATACTATTCAAAAGTGTATATTTAAAAATAAATTCATAGATGTATTTATAAATTGTTAATTTTTCAATTTAAAATGTTTAAGATACTAAACTGAATAATGGAAACCTTAAGAAATAACAATGAGCAACAATTTAATACAACTGGAAGAATTGACACATTTTCATGTTTTTCGTCATCCATGAAAATAGTTGCCAAACGTCTTCTAACAATTAAATTCGTTTGCTAGTAACATATGGTATTTGTTGCAATGGATTAAGTAATTAATCTACTAATTTGAATTTGAATTTAGTATAGCCTACCTATAAAATATTAAATATGGCTAGCCGATTAAAAGTATCAAAAACTTCTCTTTGGGAGATTTATAATTCATTTAGTTTAGCACAAAAGTGCCTATCTTCAAAAAAGTATATAGAACTGCATCAGCCTGATTATATATATATATATACATTATATATATATATATATATATATATATATATATATATATATATATATATATATATATATATATATATATATATATATATATATACTTTACTTATAGCACCTTTTTTTCTTACGCCATTCGGTGCCCCACACGGCCTAGCGATGCAAATTTTAGTATGATGTCTACATTACTCGTTTTAACGCATTATATAATCTTATACTATTTTAACAATAGATATACATCAACATATTACTTAAGAATCAAATAATACGCCTAAGCCTTACTTCCACTTAATTTGTACTAGTGCTAATTATTTAATCAGGTGTGTTGTACTTAAAGTAAGTAGTAGTTAAGTTCCCTTTCAAACTTGAAACTTGACGGTCTACGGTGCAAGAGAAATATAATTCACTTGTTTTTGTGACCTCGGCATATGCAGGGATAGTGTAGTCAGCACTATGCCCAGCCGCGTTAACTTACCCTACCGCGAGTTAGGACTGGTGTGGACTCATTGACGGTCTACTGACTTAAACAAGGATTCAAATTCGAGACTTACAGGTAACTTCGATTCAAATAATGTTTGATTTGTGTTTTTTTACCATTGTTTCTGTTCTCATAAAAGATTACGTACAATATCGCATCTCTATCCAAAATGTGTTTGCACCGCTCACTCAAATTAGTATTTATAAATAAAAGCTTTAATAACTTACCGCGTATGTGTATAAAATGATAAATAAATTCAAATTGGCATTTTATTGTAAAATATGTATGCTATGTACAGTATAAGATCGGATATTGCATTTAATTCGCAGCTAATCTAAGGGATGCAAAGGCGCTAGTTAGCAGCGAAATTATCTGCAACTTAAAGCACACTAATTGATGTACAATTTATTTCTTTCAGATTCGATCATCTCAGAGACGTGAAAAAATTTGAATTGAACAATCATAAAGTAGATCTATGTATGTTATAGCAATCACATATTTTGCATTTATGTTATGTAGTTTAACTAATTTACACTTTAAATAAATTTTCTAAAAACATATAGGCCTACACAATTTTTAAATGGTACATTTTTACTCTTAATTATAAATTCTACAGCTATGCATGAAGAATTCATGGATGCCAAGAACTTATAACAGTATGTTAACGTAAGTATATTTAACTATGTTATATTTAAAGCACAATAATTGTTTTCAACAATATTAATCCCGGTTCATATTTTGTTGGTTTCTTCGAGATTTACCAAATGTGATCAACTCGTTTTTACAGGAAGCTCCACACATCGTCTTACCTATTTCTTTGACCACAACTCGAGAAAGTGAATTTTAGTCTGTAAAATAAGCGCCTTTAGTCAACTAACAACTGAGCTTAGTAAACTGAAATCATAAAATAACTTCTCAAGCTCAATATTTATTAGCTTTTCTGATTATGCAAGCCAACTTTAATATATAAAGGAAGTCTTAGATATATAGCCTACTTATTATTTTTTCACAAATATTTCACTCATCAACACATTATTTAAAGCAATTTTTTTAGTAATAGCAAACTTGTCTTAATAATTTAAATTGTAAATGAGCTATATTTAGCTATACAATAATGAATAAGTGCAGTAAATTTTATCTTTAAATTTGATTATAGATATACTATATGCTAACAAAATAGTTATTTTGTCTTATATTATGCTTATAGTAGGATAACTTGCTAACAATATGTGTAAGCCATTTAGCTTTTGTACCAATGTCTCATTGCTGTATTTTTAGGAGTTCATAAATGTTTCTTTAAGCCGCTAGATCATTTCTTTTTTTTTTAAATAGTTTAGCCGTATTCTGTACGTATCCATGTTAATGTAATACGTATTTTCCAATAGATGTTTCAAATGGATATTGTTGTAATTAATCATTGGATATACAGTCTTGTAGAACAACTTTTCTGTAAGGTGTTTTCGTCTATACTATATATGTTTTTTTTACATTTAATAAAATACATTTGAAAGTAATGAATGCACTTGGCTTACTGTTCATGTTTACACATTGGTTTAAAAATATAATTGTGTTTTATATAAAAATGTATCAGAAGCGTAGCGACCCTTCCCGGCGCCCGGGGACAAACTTTTCTATTTGCACCCCCCCCCCTCAAGATTTCGATTTGCATCCCCCCTCAAACTTTCAATTTGCACCCCCCTCAACCCATTTTGGCGCCCCCCACCCCCTAAGGTCGGCGCCCGGGGACATATGCCCCCCCCCGCTACGCTACTGAAATGGATCAGCTGTGGTGGAAGAATAATCTATAGGTGCATAACGTGCAATTGTTGTTACAAGAAACTCTAAGCAATAATTCATTATGATAAACACTACTAATTAAAACTATGAATCACTATTTAGATTTAACTTAATTAATAAAATCTAAAGATACATTATTTGTAACATTTTGTTACATTAGGTTACCTTGCATCCGATTCTGTTATTTTAAGATTTTTATCTTCTGATTGTTCGTTTTATCTCTACTTAATAAATTGTGGTCATAAGGTAATCTATAACGTGTTTTAAGGTTTAGACCCAATACAAATCTTATAAACTATTGGGGTCTACAACGTCTGCATGTTATTCTTGTCAGTCAACTTATTGATTTAGGCCGACTGGTAGTGTGTTCACTGGGTTAATTGTAGGCTGCTTTGAATTTATTATGTTGTTGAGGGATATGTGATACACAAGATGTGGGGAAATCAGAACGATATTTTAACATGTCATCTTCAATATATATAATTCTCTTCATGGGGACCATACGAGGCACCACGCTGCTTAGCTACCACCCTCAACCCCACCTGACAGGGGAGCTACGGTTCACCACGAATGTTTACAACAGTAGAGCCGGTTCGAAAAGGTGACGGCTATTAGGGGAAGATAATTTAGTTTTTAAACGATTTGAAACTAAGGGGAGATATTAAGTTCTGCTTGATATTTTCATTGTCGTCTGTAAACAGCTGCTTTCACTGGGTGGGGTGTGGGAGTGGGGGAGACAGGGGGGGAATGGGGTAGTGTCGAATTCACAAATTATGAATTGTTGATAAGTAGAAAATAAAACAACCAGATAGCGGCGTATGCTACGTCGCTGGTCAGATCGTTTGTGATAATGAACCTCAGCTAGTAGATCAGACACAAGTAGTTCTATACACGAGACATTCACCAGCTACACGCAGAGAGCAGGTTGATTCAAGTGTAGTCTACCGTGAACTTTTCTTTAGAATTTTAGAAATAGAAACGGATGAAATCATTGTCGGGTTTTTCATATCTATACAAGTGTGTTGGTTACTGAATGTTATCTTACCCTGAATGATACATGATTACTCAAGCGTATACCGTTCTTATTTAAGACCTGATTAAGACCTACAAGATTGCTTAACTGTATGATTTTTCTGTACACTATTGATGTATAATTCACATTGTTCTTTGGTTCCCAACACTTTGATACGGTGGGCGACTACAATTTATAATTAAACCGATACAGAGACATACACGACTCCCCTCGATATTAAAGCGGTGGCTCACAAAAAAAAATAGATGTCCTTGCCAGTTTGTGAGGTTTCAGATTTCACTGTTTGTGTCATACTTATCTTTCTTTTGTGAAGAATAATACCAAGAAAATAACAGTTTTGTTACTGTGTCATATTATTAACACAATTTTAATATGTTAGGATATTAATCAGTAACAAGCTTCACAGTTTTATAAATGTGTTTTTGATTTGCCACGCTTATAAAACATGACAGCAGTGTTTCTTTCAGGTATACCCCCAGAAGAGATTCTACCCCTTCCCTCCACAAGAATTAGAATTTATATAGAAAATATATACTTTTAACAGTGTCCACCCTCCAGTAACTTTAGTCTGCCCCACACCCCGAACATTTAAAGCGCTCCCCGCCCCCTGGACAAAAAAGTCTGGAAGAAACACTGCTCAACAGATGAGTCGATTACATCAGGCTAGCGTTTTTTGTCAGATCTGCGAGTGTTACATGCTCTGATCACATATACAAACATAATACAAAGCGACATATCTATTATAATGGATCCAGACAAGCAGCGCTATAATCCAGACATGTTTACAATAGTATGCCAATTGTGAAGGGTAAGGAGAGAGATGTTTTCAAATTTTTTTATCTAAAGCCATTTGTACTCTCTCGTATACAGAGTAGGTCTATAGAGGAAGTATTGTAATCGTAAACAAAAATCACATCAGATTTTGAGAGTCTTTATTGTTTTAGACCTCAGTACTTCATTACATACAGTATAGGGGACTTATTTTCATCGGGCAAAAACTCTAAACCAGATTTATCAAAATGTTGGCGTTTTATAAGTATTCGAGTCGGAAAAACTGGGTTTTTCAATTATGTCCGTTTGTGTGTGTATGTCTGTATATGTAAACACGATAACTTGAGTAACGTTACAGCTAGTAAGATGAAATTTCATATATAAGTATTTATATCAAATGTCTAGTTCTCCATCAACTTTTCAGCTATTTCCGGTAGCCGGATGTGGGAATTCTACTTTTAGTTTTTCAAAGCTTATCACTTGAGTACTGTTTCAGATAGATAAACAAAATTTCACACGTAGGTAAAAAATATAATATACTGCCGTCTGTAAAATTTTGACTAATTACCGTTGACCGGAAGTAGTAATTTACGCTATTTCCGATTTCTAAAAAAAAAACCAAAATGAATTTATAACGTACTAATAATATTCATCACTATTATATATATTTTGTTTACAATTCACTTGGCGCGCAATTGCTTTTTTTATTTTCTACGAGATTCTATTTTAAAAAGTTTAATTAATAAACTATTGATTAAAAATAATGTCTAAATCCCGTGTTATCATCCCCCGTAGTGTTATATAAGAATATTCGAGAAAGTGTAGGGGTTTATTAAAGATAAATTACAGCATACTGAATCAAGATTTTAAAGGCACTGTAGTTGCAATATCAGTTGTGTAACTAGGTTATCCTACTTTTATACTCCTTAAGTCATGGAAGTTGTAGTTGAATTTTATTCTCATGTGTGTTTGCCATTTAATCCAATTTAAACACAGCCGACTGTATATCATTAATTAATTAGGCAGCAGCCTCGCTAGACATATTTAAGCATTTGTTAGTCAACAGTTCTCTATTTTCTTTTAAAAGTGGTTTATTTATATGTTACTTAGCTGTATATCTATATTACATAATATATAGGCCTACTTTTAAATTTAGTTACATTACCTTTGAATATAAATTTAATATGTTTCTCTCATCTTCAAAGACCCTCTGCTGAGAAAACACCTGTGGTCAAACCCCCTATGGTCAAACCCCCTATGATCAAACCCCCTATGGTCAAAGCACCGCTATGGTCAAAGCCCCGCTGTAGTCAAACCCCCTATGGTCAAAGCCCCTATGGTCAAAGCTCCGCTGTGGTCAAACCCCCTATGGTCAAAGCCCCTATGGTCAAAGCACCTGTGGTCAAAGGTCCTAGGACCCCCCCCCCCCCCACCCAAAGAAATAGAATTTATATAGAAATATATACACATTTTAAATGCAGCCCCCACCAGCCTTCCAGGAGAAAAAGTCTGAAAGAAACACTGTTGGGCCGACAACACACTCGAGGTCAAGTTAGTTCTACTTGGGCAAACACAAAAACCCACCCGCCATTTTTTGAACTTGTCTCCAACGAAGTAATTTGCCTGCCTTGCAATTCAATTACCTCCATCTGCAGTTCATCTGGGCAACTGGTTACAAGTTGTTACCATGTACTTGTTCCAAAATCATGGAACAGTTGTCCAGCGATTCATGCATTGCAATTGAAAAATTGTGAAACTTGTTAGCAGTTTTCACCATTTGAGTCACAATGTTTTCATCAATGTCTGCAACACGGAGGGTAGTTGTATTTGCGCCGGAATATAGATTTTCTAATTGTTTTGAATTTTCTGGTCAAAGTACCTTAGCCACTTCTAACAAACATTTTTTTTCCGTGAACAAAAAGATCTCCGCGGGCCGGATGAAAGGACCTCGCGGCCGCATCCGGCCCGCGGGCCGTATTTTGGAGACCCCTGGTCTATCGTGTTGTTTTGATTTCTTTGCTTGAGATTTTATCTTGCCTTCAAAACGTGTGAGTTTATCATTGACTGTGTTGATATTTTCTTCTAACTGGAGATATTTTCTTTCTAGTGAACCAGTTGTCATGTCAGTGATGTCTAGCTTGTGTAGCGGAGACTGGAACACTTCTATGGTCACTGGATACAACATTGAAAATCATGTTAAAATAGGAGTCTAATACTTGATGCAATAAATTATAAAAATAGAACATAATTGATTTTTTTCTGTTGTAATTAGCTACATAATAATAACAATCATGTATATAAAATATACATGTATTTTATATATATAAGCGTTAAAATTTAATTTTTAAAATATTTTTATTTTTAAAATTCATTACATTTGACTATGTACAAAATTTCATTCAAATTAAAGAAAATATTTGCTCATTGATGACTTATGTGTAGTATATTAAAGGTATTAACATATTAAAAACAAAGAATAAAACAAACGAAATTCGGGTACCAATGTCGAAAATCGACATAAAAATGTCTACATTGCTAATACACCAAATACCCTCACTGAAACAAAGCATAACAATCATAAGTTTTGGAAGTAGCATTGGCTTTAATAAAGCATAGTTAAAAATAAAAGCATGAAGAAATTTGTAACGTTCTACCCAGTAGGCTACCTAACAACGCCGACACATATTCTAATGTAAAACTTATTGTGTCCTCCAGTTGTAGCATAATTTCTGAAAACGTTTTGCTGTTATCATCGTTTAGCCAGAATTCCAATCTGATATTATCTGTTAGTATAGAAGTAATTAATTAAAGTGTTATTAAGAATGTGTAGCCGTACTTTTAATTTATAATATTGTATTAGTAAAGTAGTTTATTTGAGGTGTAAATAACAATGTAAACAATTAAAGTAATGTCGCCCTTAAAAAGAAAAACAAATTCCGTGTTTGTCTTACTTGATTTAACGAGATTAATATCGGATTTATAACATCTCTCAGACTGTCCAGATGTTTTAGAAGCCGTGAAATAGTTTGTACCTGATACAATGGTCGCATCTGGTAAAAATCAACAACATAGGCTTATGTTATCAACATACATTGTACATAGACGACTGCTTGTATTTGATTAGTTTTAAAAGTCGAGCAAAAACCTAATCTTTTAACTGAAGAACGATCAAATAAAATATATTTTGACCCGCATTTAGAATCTACCAACAACTTACCTTATTGTGATGTCTTCTATAATGAAGGAATAGAAGTGTCAATTATTTGAATGTGTTATTTCCGTGTTTTTGTTGTTTGACGATTCGACAAAACACTACTTGTCGTTTTATTTGGCTTGTTAGCTTATCAATGGAAATCAAAGTAACAACGGGGTTTTCCGATATTACGTTTACGCAGAGACTTGCCAGATTTTTAGAGATTAAATTAGCCAAATTAAATTCAAGCATTCTACATTTATGTTTTCCTCGACAGAACATTTAGATTTTCTTTTGATAATTTGAAATTACTTTGGAAATATAATTTTCTTTATTTTATTAATTAGTCTGTTTAATTTGTTAAATATCAAATGAAACGGTGTCATTGCATACATTATGTGGTTTTCGCTGATATTATTCTAGTGTTTCTTATGTCTGATGACGACGCCAATGTTATAATGAACAGACCAAAAAAATTGCGATATTTAGTAAAGTATTCACAAATCATGTTTTTAATTACTCATATTAAAAAATATATAATTGCGAGCTGCTTAAATTGTAAATGATGATTAAAACTTTAAGAGCCGCCTTTTGTTTAAACCACATCTCCATCAATCATTTCACACATAATGTTTGTTTAAGTCTGCTATCATAGCAATCTAACATACAAACAAATGTAAACCACACCTCCATTAATCACTCCACACATAATGTTTGTTTAAGTCTTCTATAATAGCAGTCTATGATACGAACAAATGTAAACCACACCTCCATCAATCATTCTAAACTTTAGCAAGAACAGTTGGAAAATTCAAACAAACAAATACAAAATTTGGACAAAACAAAGATTTAATTAAAAAATGTTTACCTTTATTTATTTTTTAAAAAAATCATTCAGCTGTTGTCGTGTGTTCTTCATAAAACTGAATTAGGATATTTTGTTTATGAATAGCAACATTCTTTAAGGCAAATAATTATTTAAGGACGACAATTGAAACAGGTTGGATTATATCCGTAGACTTCTTATAATAAAAATATTCTTCTAATTCCCAGCAACTTTGAGGATTACGCCCTTGGTCTAACTGTGGGGTGGGTAATATCACTGAAACAGTTTAAAGTTATCTAGGCCATTATGACTTGTAGAAATCCCATCCATGTTACTGATCATGTAAGAGCTGTAAGATGATACTACAAATTAATGGTATGCACAAGTAATAATAAATATGTAGAAGGATATATGTAGTGACATGCCGTCTTTTAAGTCATGGAGTAACACACACTAATGTAGTTTAGAGTTACAACAAGTTAATACAGTGCTAGAGTAACATTGCTTTAGGGAGAAATAAATAATTTAGTTCAATTTGAATTTGAACTACAAAATTCATGTTATGCGTCTGATAAACGTTATAAAGAAATTGAATAAGACCGGTGTCCTAATTTACGAGGTGGGCTTAAATTATCAGCATTGTATTTTATTTTGCTCTGACAGCTATTCCTAGATACTAGATGTAAACCTCTTAAATGGTTAGTTCTCAAGATTTTAAAAATGTAAATTTCGTCTTCCTCACTACTTTTCAAATAATTACGGTATCTATCTATATACGGTAGCTTATATATATAGAATTTATACGGAAAAAATCCTGAGTGATCTCCCCTAAATTTTATCCCTAATTGTTATGCTATTAAACTAGAATGTTGACGGCACTTGCAGGCAGACTGAGCTTTATATAGGCCTATATATATATATATATATATATATATATATATATATATACATATATTCATTTATATATATATATATATATATATATATATATATATATATATATATATATATATATATATATATATATATATATATATTTATGAGATATTTTGTCTGAGATCATTTGTCCTTGATATCATTTGTCCTGATATATTTTGTCTTGGTATATTTTGTCCTTGATATCATTTGTCCTGATATATTTTGTCTTGGTATCTTTTGTCCTTGAGATCATTTGCCCTGTCACCATATATATATATATATTTATATTTATATATATATATATATATATATATATATATATATATATATACATATATATATATATATATATATATATATATATATATATATATATATATATATATATATATATATATATGATTCTAACCGAAATTATTATTTATTTTAATTTATTGATGCTTTTAGCATTGGAGTAAATCTAGTCTTATCTTTTTCTTCATAAAAAGTGTCGCTAGGCTTCTTACAATCGAATGGCTGTTGACGCGGCTGCTGCGAATGTTATATTTACGTTTTCACACAAGTCACTCTATTTATAACGTAGACAAATTTCCCATCTATTTTAAGAAAACAACACGGTTACCATTTCTTAGCATGTGCCTTCAAACTTTCTCAACATAGTTATCCCGCTTGCAAACATGAAAACACATACAGAAGTACCAACACACACACATACAAGACTGCATACACGCACCATCACACTCAGACAAAATCCCACATTACCTAAACATACCCATACAAAATTTAAAACATATTTCAGTCTTCTATTCTTTCAATGTTATGCGAAATTTCCAATTTTCGTTTAACGTAATCAACACGTTACGAACATTATAGTACTAATCGTATATGGTAGATTTAACAATAAACGTGTAATGTATCCATACAAAGTTTGTAGTTAGAAAATGTTAGTGTATGAGTGTTAGTCGACACCTCGGTTACTGGTTTTTTAAATCGCTATTATCTTTATTCCTTTAAAGTCAATAGTTTTTAACGACGAAAAATACCAGCTTACCTGACTTATCCAGTAATAGCTAGCATCGGTTATCTGTCCTTGTATGCAAACATTTCTTAATGTTAATAATTATTTCGAGCATACACTTGTTTTAGAGCTTGTGAAAAATTCAGAAATTTTTTATGGAGTCTTAGGATGAACCACCCATATAGCTTAAAAACCACACTAAAACGTCACAAGAAATACGGAGATTGCTAGAGGTACTAGTGGTTTTAAAATGTAAATGTGAAACATATGCTAATGATCCTAACAGAGCTATTGCCAAAGTTAACCCTAGCAGAAATAATCAAATTGTAAAATAGTGAGCAAAGATAGATAATTGCTGCTGTTACAAAAGAAAATAAGATGTATTGATTCGTCAATAACACGTCAACAACGGTACTAAATTTTTGGTTACTTACGGTAATTCCTATATTTTTTGCGATAATTTCATTGCGTTGTGTATATATGTGGAGCAGTGCGTGGTTTATATGATTTAGACGTGTTGTTGATAAGTTTGTATCCGAGGTTTGCCGTTAATTTATGTAAACAGTAACTTTTTGCAACGATGCAGGGCAGTACCACCAGTTATGTTGGCAGTAGGTCACCTCGTGCAGCCAAGCATGACATAATTAAATCCAAGTGTGTTGAAAAATGTTAAAGGTAAACAGAGCAAATCAGCGGCAATTAAACTATTTCGGCCAAGTGGTTAATTTTTACACCATCCTACAATATTGTGGTTTAATAGTGTCAACTATTTAGAAATAATAAAGTAACACAGCATTTAGAATGACTAAAGGATCACATAGAGCATTTAGGATGACTAATGTAGGACATGTACCATTTCGAATGATTTCTTTACGAATCACAATGTTTAGAATAACAGCAATAACTTAAAATTATGTACCTCTTACAGCAATAAAGCTAGTAGTCTCGAACTAGTAAACAAGGTGAACTACTGATTATAACTTCTTCAATTCATCAAATGAGTGACACACTTTGTCATTTACGTTGGCTGGGCTACAGGACATTACCCCCCACACGGGGAAACAGTGGCGTAGGCAGGGGGGGGGGGGGGTTAGGAGGGGTCATAATCCCCCCCCATAGACCACTCGGTATATATAAAAAGTATAAGGGGGGGGGGTGCAAATCGAAAGTTTGAGGGGGGATGCAAATCGAAAGTTTGAGGGGGGGGGGTGCAAATCGAAAGTTTGAGGGGGGTGCAAATCGAAAGTTTGTCCCCGGGTAAAAATTGGAACCCCCCCTTGAGACGATCCTGGCTACGCCACTGCGGGGAAATTACCCCCCGGACATTTCCCCATCGTATTTACTCACGGAGCTTTTAGCCCCTGTGAATTACCCCCCTGTCAATTACCCCCGGGAAATTACCCTTCACCCTCAAGTTAGAATCCTAACTCTAACTAGAATAATATACCTTTATATTACCTTAATCCAAACCTTAAGAAAAAGTCCAAAACCTAAGCATCCATCTCAGCCTAAAACTTAACACAAAACCAACGATAGGCATTGGTTTAAGCCTTACCCTAACCCTTGCCATAGCTATTGCCATAACTCGGGTCTACGACAAATTCCCGAAAGACACTTGCCCGAATGCGACAAATGCCCGAATGGGCACGTGCCGGAATGCGACAAATGCCCGAATGGACACTTGCCCGAATGCGACAAATGCCCGAATGGACACTTGCCCGAATGCGACAAATGCCCGAATGGACACTAGCCCGAATGCGACAAATGCCCGAATGCGACAAATTACCCTAACCCTTGCCATAGCTATTGCCCTAACTCGGGTCTACGACAAATTCCCGAAAGACACTTGCCCGAATGCGACAAATGCCCGAATGGGCACGTGCCGGAATGCAACAAATGCCCGAATGGACACTTGCCCGAATGCGACAAATGCCCGAATGGACACTTGCCCGAATGCGACAAATGCCCGAATGGACACTAGCCCGAATGCGACAAATGCCCGAATGCGACAAATTACCCTAACCCTTGCCATAGCTATTGCCCTAACTCGGGTCTACGACAAATTCCCGAAAGACACTTGCCCGTAGGCCGCTTGCTCTTCGACTAAAAGTTTTTATCCTACAGCAAACACTGAAAACGTGTATAGAACACATAATAAACTTAAGTTGGGTGGAATCGAATAATAATTTAATTGGATTAATTTAGTCTGAAATATTTTCCACATTCACTTTACTTTGCTAATAAGTCTTGTCCAAAATCATGTATATATCCTGCTTGGCTCAGTAATGTAAATAAACAGCACGTATAGTTTAATTAACATTAATTATTAACAGCAATATACATTTTGATGGTATGTACAATAAATTAGGGAAAGTCTTGTAATCGTGCAAAAAAAAAAAATCGAGATTTTTACAAATCTCGACGTTTTACACCTCACGGATACGGAAAAACAATTTTGCAATCTTGTCCGTATGTCTGTGTGTCTGTCTGTCTGTGTGTGTGTGTGTCCGTGTGTAAACACGATTACTTGAGTACCGTTACAGCTAGGTTGATGAAATTTCTTATATAAGTATTTTAGCACAATCGATTTCCGATAACCGGAAGTGGTACTTTTCCTACTTTGAATTTTTCAAAAGCCTATAACTTGATTACTATTTAAGGTAGATAAATAAAGTTTTACATGTAAGTAAAAGATCTAATTCTCTACCTTCTGTTAAATTTGAGTAATTTCCGTTGACCTGAAGTAGTAATTTATGCTACTTCCGATTTCTCAAAAAACTAATGTAAATTTTTAAAGTACTAATAATAGTGCGCACTATTATGCACTTTTTTATTTGGCGTTCACTTGGTGTGCAATTCTTTTGTCTACGAGATTTTATTCTATTTTTACAAGCTTTTATTTAACTCACTTCCTCTGTCGTCAGTCCAGACGGAAACGCAGGAGTGAAAATTCGGACAGTTCTACTTGACCGATACGATTCACATTTGGCACGTGGGTCAAGACATGAAGACAATGCAATCTGAAACTAAATTTGACTTAATTGGATGCCTAATTGATTTTTAATGAATTAATTAAAATTTGGACCGAATTAGTAGGCATGTCTAGCCAACCACACCACACGCGTCATCACCTTCAATAGCTGCGCCATCACGTAATGGCTGCGTTCAAAAACCATTGCGCGCCTACTGAACGTGATGTTCAGTAGGCGCGCAATGGTTTTTAGTCATGTAACTCTATTGTAAATAAAACATGTAAAGTACTGAAAAAAAAAATTCATAAAAAACGTTTTAATAACAAGCTTTTATGTAATGATGCACTAAAAAGTAGAAAATAAATTATAGACTACTATTTAAATAACTATAAAGAAAAGCGTGGGTGTCTTCCTTAACATTAGTAAAGGTATCCAATAGATACTAAAGTGACCCACGCTTTTCTTTATAGTTATTTAAATAGTAGTCTATAATTTATTTTCTACTTTTTAGTGCATCATTACATAAAAGCTTGTTATTAAAACGTTTTTTATGAATTTTTTTTAAAACTTTAAGTATTTAAAATGGATTAAAAATCATGTCTATAGCCCGAGTTCCCATCCCCTGTTATTTTATTTAACAATATTCGAGAAAGTTTAGGGGAGATCACTCCCGGTTTATTTTTAAAAAATACATATTTGTTTAAAAGTATATCTCGTAAATTACATTTTTTTAAATTCATGATAATTATTAGCTTCAGTTAAATCAACCGAATAATTATATTTAATTTTGTTAAATCAATGTTAAATGTACGCTAAGTTTGGTAAATGCTTTATTATTTTAATAGTATTTAAAAATATACCAATAGCAATTTTCTTCCACTTTGTAAAAATATGCATTAAAAAAAAAAGTTGTAAGGAACACATGAATACATTACTGGATTTAATTTAACATAACACTATCGTAAGAAATCGATTACCGTCTAGTCTAGTTAGTTAGTTTATAGAACCTTCATATAGAGGTGAGGTGTTTTTACATCATTGAAAATAAGCACTAGGCTACTTATAATTGAGTGGTATGTCCAGATGAAAAATTCTAATCATCTGCGAGATAACATGATTTGCCGGAGATTTACATCGTAAAATATCACATTTACACTATACCATAACTAATGCTGTGGCTAGTTGCAGATATTAAATTAAAACGTTTAACGAATTTTGCAAAATATGGCTCTCACATGTTGGTATGTCGAATATAAACAATTATTTTAATACACAAAATGATATGACAATTTGATCTACGATCAAAAAATGCCAGAACTGTGAATCTCGTAAGTAGTTTGTGAAAACGCACATTGATTCTAAATGAATTTAATCCGTGGTTGGGAACAAATTCGGAAACAACTAAACAGTGAGCAATCATTCAATGTGACATCCGTGCTAGAAAGACTCATTTTTAAAATACAATTTATCTCCCTTTTGTAGTTCTAGTACTGCTAGACACGACCCGTGTGTGACCTTATCCCTAATCCAAACTTCAGCTATATAATCTTCTGTGTTTTTGTCATCGTCATAGCCAGAGGTCTTGTCTGTACAATCTGACGACGTTGCTGGCTCTTGTGTTTCTGATTTCTTGGTTTTTGTTGACAAACGTTTGCGATATAGTATGATTGATGCATTACCCTTGAATACTGTATTTACATTAAAACTGAGACAGTAAAGTCCGTCTGTGGGTACTGTGAACTCTCCAGTCGTTGGCTGAAAACATCCGTCAGTATTACCTAACATTTTACTAAAATCTGTAATGATATCACCAGCGTTGAGGAATAAATAATCTTTTATCCTGGCACCAAACGCAATACTACATCGACAACACTTTCTGTTGGAAATAAAGAAATGATCACATTACCATTTGTTCTTTGATAACCCATGATATTATAAAGGTAAGTGAAGGCTTAAGGTACACGATATCGTATGTGTGTAAAACCTTTATTATTACACTATTAGATCTAAGACAAAACTTGATAGAATTTTTACAAGCATAATTTAGTATAAAAATATATCAATGTATCACATTTTGCTGATGTACTCACCCAACGCATTGAGCTTTTCAGCTAACTGGAAGAAAAATGAAATAAACTTAATGACCTACATTGAGCGTACATTAACTTGGAATGCATAAAACTAATTCATAGTATACTTTAGTTATAATATACCAGAATAACTAAGTTAACAATATAATTGTAAGGAAAACGCCATTAAAGCCAGTTTTTAATTGAATTTATCCGAAGACCTAATGTAAAATTAATATATCAAATACCTGAACATCGTTTTGTTCTCTTGATTTCATCAGTTGACTGAAGACATTTTGTAAGGACTCAAATTGTGAAAATCTTTTAGCCAGTACTTGACACATGGCTGCAGTCTGAGGAGATATAAAGGGGTTAATTTTTTTTTTCTAACTGGTATGTGGTTGTCTTTAATTTGATTAGGGTTTAATATAGTTGTTATTGGTATGTAATTTAATAAGGGGTTTATTTAGTTGTTACTGGTCTGTGATTGTCTATAATTTTGTAATGGGTAGCTTTTTATTATATAATTAAATGGTTCATTCAAATGTAGCGTAACAATAATGTTTAGTTTTTATAAGGTTTTAATTTGGAAAGGACATAACGTATAACTTGTATACCTTTAATTCTCCATGTGTTAGTTTTGTATCCATTCTAGACAAACTTTCTGATATATCTTGGACAGAGGTTTCATGATCTTTTGTTGTCTTGACCAGACCTTTAGTGACCACACTTAACTCTTCTATGTGTTTCTTGTTGTCACAGCTAGCTTCATTTATCTCTTGTATTGACGTCATCATTTGCCTCATGTTATGAGAATGTCTTTGTGTCGCGTTATATTGTTCTTCTACTTTTTCTGTCAACACATCCAAGTTTTTCTCTATTTGTTCTACCCTTCTATTTTGTTGTTTTGATTTCTTTGCTTGAGATTTTAGCTTGCCTTCAAAACGTGTGAGTTTATCATTGACTGTGTTGATATTTTCGTCTATCTGGATATATTTTCTTTCTAGTGAACCAGTTGTCATGTCAGTGACGTCTAGCTTGTGTAGCAGAGACTGGAACTCTTCTATGGTCACTGGATTTTAATAATATGTAAGTAGTTAGGTAGACATAAACACTCGCATCTAAATAACGATTATGTTGTTCAAAACAAGTTATAAAATAAAAAATAACAATTTTATTATCACACACAAACAAACATATATATATATATAAATATAAATATATATAAATATATATATATATATATATATATATATATATATATATATATATATATATATATATATATATATATATATATATATATATACATAAAGTATCTACCATATTTGGAACTGCCATCTGTTAATTCATGTTGTGATTTTTCAAAACTGCCACCTGTGTTGTGACTGTCTTATGGTAAAGTACTAGAGAGATATTCAGCTGGTCCTGGGCTATGGGTTGTGTCCCGTTGATATTCTGCAGTACATACACAACACACGCAACAATTACCTCAAACATAATAGATCATTTTTTTAAATCTATCTTACTTTTAAGTATTTATATATAAATCTATTCATATACCTAATAAAGAAGAATAACTCCTCAATGAAGACATATGTGTCTCTTCTAATCCTTGCATCAAGTCTATAAATGATTTTGTGTTTGTATCTGTATCTGTTAGCCAACAGCTGCATTCCTTTATAACCTGGAGTCAAATAAGATATCATTAAATGTAAAAATGCTATAGGAAGTGCTATAGGTATATCATTTAAAACATTATGCCTATTTATATTACACGTACATCCCCAACACCTTCAATCCAACATGTTAAACACGATGATCGTATAAACTTCATGTATGTGTTTATTTTAATAGCGTTAACAACTTACATCATTGATCTTATTTAGTTCTGGAGTCAACACATTATTTTGATGTTCTAGAAACTTTAGAAATGTTGTTATAATTTGTACCTGGTAAGCTGGTCTCATCTAAAAAAAATAAAGTTTTAGAAAATTGTTAAGTAAGTGGTACGTCTAATTGATAGCAGTTTAGACTATAATATTTAGAGGGTAGTAAAATAGAGATTTGTTTCATTTTTAATTCTATTTGGAATGTTGCCTTTTTTAAAAATAATTAATTACAAAACTGAAAAAATTTAATGTTTACATTATGATGTTACAATGTTAACTCAGTGAAGGACGTCAAATGTCATCACACAGTAGCTGGACTAGTTAACGAGAGATTATACTCAATATGAAAAAGAAATTTAACACATCAATGTATTGTCAACCGTATTATAAAAACATATCCAGATGGACAGACTTACTTTTCTAAAGAATTTTTGCTGTAATGGCGACAGGTTTACACTAGACTTTTGGTTTCGGTTTTAAAATTTCTATTTGTATAAGAAAACATGTCATATCGGGATTTCCCAATGTTATTTTAAAGGTTAAAAATATTACGACATGTTTCCGATTAGTTAGCACTTCACAAAACGCGAAATCATCTTATTGATTATATTTTTCCACTTGCCCTATTCTAGGTATCGAACATATTATATTTAATGATTTGTTTTTTTATCTATTTGTTATTATTGTTATTTTTTGGCAACACATTATAATGGTACATTTATCCACTATTATCCAGAAGTGTGAAATTTGGCAACATCCGTCTTTTCTTAACTTATTGCCTATAATTTGCGTCTTGATTTACTAGGCGCACTTATCTTAATGTATTTAAGACAATGAAACCATTTAGTTAAAATACGGTAGGCAATGTCCCAACCAGGTGGTGAATTACATGGGGAAGAAAACAAAACCTGAAGGAAGCCAACGTGTATAGCTACTTTTAAAGTGGGTGAAAAAAATTCGTTATTCTCACACATTTTTAGTGTGTCCTGCTAATAAGCAATAGCTTAAGCAAGTAAAGACCGTGTAGTTGGCCGTTTAAAAAGTATAAGGAAATTAAGTAACAGACATTTTAAATCATAGAAATTTTTGCACGATTTGTATGAAATGTTTGTAGGATTTTTTTTATTACATTAAATATGAATGTATGTGGAAAACGATTTATTTGAAATGGATTTGAATATAATTTTTGTTTATTAATTTTTCAACAAAAATTAAAATAGAAAATGACTAAATATCTTTCAACACTGATACATAACAGAATTTCTTTTTAAATTCATGTACTAGCGATGGTAATGTTCCAAAGCTAATATTACTCCTTATAGACAATCACCAATTATACGGTTTGCTTTAGATTTAATCCATTTCACTTGATAAAGATATTACAGATGTGTGTTGCTGTAATATTCAGATATAAGCACATCGATCAGTAGACCTTTTTTCTCTTACTTAATAAAAAAATACTGTACTTTTAAAATTAAAAAAATATATTCTTAATTACCTCCTGTTTATTTGATAAGCATTTCAAGGGAAACAGCAGAAATTAATATTTCATTTACAAAAACAAACAAAATGAAGGAAAACAGATGTTCACTATAACATATGTTTATATTTATTTACCAAAAAATGATTACAAAATGAACGTCTTTCTCGCACTCTTAATCTAACATAAAAAGTATAAATTTTAAGCACTGTTTATGAATGTAATCAATCTTTGTGATCAATTTATTCATTGATAAATAAAACTATAGGTCTAAATGTGGTGGAAAAAAAACTGCAATGCTAAAATTATTATTTTAGGTATGTTTAAATATGGTAACTATTATGATTTAATACGGTCAACTGGGATGAATTTAGATGGTGAACTGCGATATTTTACTTGAAAACATTTTTAAATCCATCGCACTGTTTATCTAAATCACAGTATATTTCATTTGAGTCAGGTCTGTAAGCATTCGTGTGCTTTAATGAAGTATTTCAGACAACATTGTTTGTATGTATAAAAAAAAGATTATGATATTATGTAGAGTCGTGGTTTCTACACATGCAGCTTTATAAATTGATCAATACACGTTCATCTTCAAGCACTTAGTTATTACCATTGTTTATTTTATAAATGAAGTTATTGTTAAAATGTGTATGTATATTAGGTTTGGTTTTAATAAAGTGTAAAAAATGGAAAATAGTTTTCCTAGTTGTTCATATTATTCACAAATCGAAGTTAAGTTTCCAGCCTAGTTGTATCGCATGTATATAGCTTGAACTTTGGAAACTGTATAATTATTCTATGGATTATTTCAAATGCTCTTTTAACAGCACATTCATGTGATTTTATTATCTACGAACAAAATCACAGTTAATGCCAGATTTTTATTGACATAAATAAAAGATAAAGCTACGCAAGATAACGTTTGTTGTCTATTTTTACTATGTATCAAGCTATGTGGAGGTACAACTCCGCCATTACATTGCTCCCTACCAACCATACATGCAGTTTCTTGGAAACATCAGTAGCCATTTCTCTTCATCTATAAGAGGGGGTTGTTTGTTTCTAACACCTATAAGGTCAAGTACTTGCAGAAAACTATTAGACAAATTGCTCTATGTAGCACTGGGGGGGGGGATAGATGGTCAGATCAAAGAGACAGACACGACAATAGTAGCCTGAATACTAAACAGTGGTCAGAGTTGTTAGCGACTTTGGGGATAATTTAAAAAAAATGTTAGGTCACACATTTTTTCTCATTATCCATTGGGAAAATCTAAGCTGGTAAGACTGAAGTATAAATACAGAAACTGCAAGCTGCTTAGTGAGTACATTCCCCCTTCCCAGTCTCACTAGTACCTTCATGTTTCAGTCTCACTATAAACTTCCACCTTCCTAGTCTCACTAGTACCTTATAGTTTCACAGTCTCACTAGTACCTTCTAGTTTCACAGTCTCACTAGTACCTTCTTGTTTCACAGTCTCACTAGTACCCTTCCAGTCTCACTAGTACATTCTAGTTTCACTGTCTCACTAGTACCTTCCACCTCCCCAGTCTGACTAATACTTCTAGTTTCCAAGTCTCACTAGTACCTTCCACCTTCCCAGTCTCACTAGTACCTTTCTTGTAGTTTCACAGTCTCACTAGTACCTTCTAGTTTCACAGTCTCACTAGTACCTTCTAGTTTCACAGTCTCACTAGTACCTTCCACCTTCCCAGTCTCACTAGTACCTTCTAGTTTCACAGTCTCACTAGTACTTTCCACCTTTCTAGTCTCACTAGTACCTTCTAGTTTCACAGTCTCACTAGTACCTTCTAGTTTCACAGTCTCACTAGTACCTTCCACATTCCCAGTCTCACTAGTACCTTCCACTTTAATAATTTAAAAAAATGGTTTTCAAAAAGCACCAGTATAGTTTTTACCCTCATTAAAAACAAAATACTATTTCATTAAAACATGCAAAGTTTGACCTTGTTCTGGATTTTTTTCTGCTAGGTTGATAGCAGCCTCCCGTATCGTGTATACGTTTTAAAGCGTCATATCTAAGACGTGTCAAAAGAGGCCTTGAATTGTTTTAATCAAAACGTATTGCGTAAATCACAATTATACTTTATTATGGTGAAGAATTAATTTCACATTTTAAAGAATTAGTCAACAATAATATGTCAAACAGAAAACAGCCAACAATCAACACCGCCATGCTTGTTTACATTCTAGAAAAGACAGACATCCAACAGGCGCCATGTTTGTTTACATTCTAGAAAAGACAGACATCCAACAGACGCCATGTTTGTTTACATTGTAGAAAAGAGCAGCCAATTACAAAAATAAGTCAGCCCACACCCCACTATAATTTAAACCACCAGTGTTAGCTCCACTGTGGGGGTGGTTAGAGCCGTACCCCCAGCCCCACCCCAGTTTGTAGATCATAGCCCCACTGCTACCTGGACAGGTACACGTTGTGTACGTGTACCTGGTCGAGCCACCCCCCACCACCTGCCTGTGTACGAAGTGACCTACAGAGATCTGCTTAGAACAGCCATGAGGATGTGACACTATAATGGTCAGCTTGTCCATGTTGAATTTGTCACTTCCTTTTTCACGAAGACTATCAAACCGCTTGACCATCTCCTCCAGTTTATCAGCTACATCTACGTCATGTGTCACACAACACAGCATGCACTTGTCTCCCTCAGAATCTGACCAACCTACCTTCCACCCATAAATGTTGACAACGGGACAATTCTCCTCATCAAACCACAACCTACAGCTGGACTGTCTCGCCTCACTCTCATCAAAAACCACATGTTTGGCTGTCACCACATCAACCTTCCACCACACTTTGCTGGGTGTGTCCGAGTGGTCACATTCAGGACATGGACAAGTTCTGTAGGTCCTCCTGTATGTCTGGTCCATCCCCTCTGTGTACTTGATCACCCATCTCACCCTCCCAGTCCCTGTCCTCAGTGAGTTCTGTCCCCTGGTGTTGTAGCAAGGATATGGATCTTTAGTGCCTGGTACAAACTCTGGTCTGTCTGGACTGGTCAACTTAACAGCTATCCTCACAGTTAGGTCAGCCATGGCTTTTGTGAGGTCATACACATCGTTGTCATGGTAGCCAGAAGGAAAATGTTCAAGACTTAACTGATTTACAGGTACAAAGTTTTTATGGCCAGGATTTTTCTTGCAGTTTGCCAGGTGTGTGTGTAGATCTGCCTCATCTTGACCTTCAAGACATTCTTGTACTTCATGTGTACCTGTACAAGTAAACAAAACAATTTTATAACTGTAAACATTTCATAAGCTGTTAAACTTTAACAAACATAAAACATGAAAACTATCTACAACCTCCAACTGTCACAACCATCTCAACCATCACCATCTTAAGATACTCATCCAGTAAACATTTCAAACTATAGAATGTTCCAACGCAAGGACTTCATCAGCAAAAAACTGTTAAAAATAAGGTAGAAATCTTCCCAAACAACTGGACATTACCTGTAAAATATGTTGAGATGTCTTCTCCACTGGCCATACTGTTGTGGTCATCTAGACTATCCTCTCCACTGGCCATACTGTTGTGGTCATCTAGACTATACTCTCCACTGGCCATACTGTTGTGGTCATCTAGACTATCCAAGTTGATTTCTGTTAAATAAACCACACCACAAAGATTTGACACATTGTCTACATCAGCACTAAACCATGGCTGTACACTTGATTAAGTTAAAAGATAATTAACAAACTTACCTGTAACTTGATGTGACAGATCTCTACTGGCCTTTACTGTAGTCTTATGGTCAACTGTGGCAGCTGATTGATTGAAATAACCTTGACCTTTACTTCACATTCAACACTCTTTAATAGCTAGAAATATTTTGACTTTTTAAAAAATAATTTAAAATCAACAACCAAAGCATTTTTACAAACTATTATAGTCAGCTTTCTTATCTACATATACAATTTTAGACCAACATACTACATAGAGAAACTAATATTTGATCTATAGACAGCACACCACAGAAAGAACTACAAAATGACAACATATATAGTGGAACTTTCTTTAATATAGAATTCCATAATAATCACCATTTTTTTTATGGACTCTCATTAGCATAGAACTACAGAATGACACCATTTATGATGAGACTGTAATGAGCATAGCACTACAACATTTATAATGTCACTGTCATTAGTATAGAACTACAGAATGACAACATTTATAATGGAACTGTTATTAGTATAGAACTACAGAATGACATTATATACAATGATTTATGAACAATTAAAGAATGACACAACATGTTTCTCATAATTAAATAAAATACTTACAGTTAAAGTGAAGAGGTCAAAGGTTGATCACACAGGGGAGAGGGAGTAATGTTTTATCTTCCTGGAGATGTACGTAAAAGTTAAATGCCAATGAGGAAAGTTAATGAGAGAAATATATTAATTGTAATCATGTTAATTTATATCTCAACAATAGCTTTAAATTAGCTACTGAATAATAAGTCATTATTTTAGGATTTTTACTTTCTCGTGTATACGTAGTATAGAGAAAGTATTGTAATCGTGCAAAAAAAAATCGAGATTTTTACAAATCTCGACGTTTTACACCTCACTGATACGGAAAAACATAAATTTGCAATCTTGTCCGTATGTCTGTGTGTGTGTGTGTCTGTGTGTCTGTGTGTAAACACGATAACTTGAGTATCGTTACAGCTAGGTTGATGAAATTTCATATATAAGTATTATATCAAAATCGTAAATCCCTATCAACTTTTGAGCAATTTCCGACAACCGGAAGTGGTACTTTTTCTACTTTGAATTTTTCAAAAGCCTATAACTTGAGTACTATTTCAGATAGCTAAATGAAATTTCACATGTAAGTAAAAAATCTAATTCTCTACCTTCTGTTAAATTTTCAGTAATTTCCGTTGACCGGAAGTAGTAATTTACGCTACTTCCGATTTCTCAAAAAACTAATGTAAATTTTTAAAGTAGTAATAATATTGCGCACTATTATGCACATTTTGTTTCGGCGTTTGTTTGGTGCGCAATGTTTTTTTCTATGAGATTCTATTCTATTTTAAAAGTTTAAGTAATTAAAAATCATGTCTACATTCCAAGTTATATAAGAATATTCGAGAAAGTTTAGGGGAGATCACTCCCGGTTTATTTATTTTACAATAATTTACAAAAGGTTTTTTTCCTAAGATATTACTAAATAATTTTTAGTTTTGGAGCAATTTTAAATAAATTATTTCCTAAAATATTACTGGCTAATTAGGCTGTTACTAATGATAGTACAGGTCCATCACTTAATGACCTGAAGTAAAAGAGCATTAATTTTTGCAATAAATGTTATAGCCTGACGGTGTAACAGTGATATTTTTAGTTTAGTTTTACACTTTATGTTGCTGTCAGTACAACAAAACTAGAGATCTAGTACTGTAGCTTTTTTATTTTAGCTGAATTTCTGGTATTTTACTTTTAACATTTTTAAGGCTAGTGTACTTATTAGCTATACCAGCTATGCAGTGAGCATATTATATTTAGATTTAGATTTTGTCAAGCCTCACTACAGTAAAAAAAAATCTAATAGAGACAGCGTGTCATTGTACCCAGAGGGAATCCCTTCCAACACTAAAATTAAGAACGAAGAAGAAGAAAGAAGACATTCATAATATTTTTTTTTTCCAAAGTATTTAACTGGGAATAACCTTATTAGCATTATGACTATTGCCAGTCGTAACTTTTTTCAACACGCCTGTGTCCAATTAGCAACGGTCGCTAATATGACCCAGGTCCTTATAGCCTCGACCACTATTTAGTCGATAAATTTGTAATGATTTAGTGATTTAGTTAAACAATAATTCTTTTAATAAGCAGACTAAATGTCACAGCGAACGGGAGTCGTAGAGCTTATCTAGTATCTAGGGTATGATGTCTTGCTTGAAACAGGAAATTAACAGGACATTATTTCTATAAGCCAGTGTATTATTCGGTACCTTAACATTGTGACAAGACGGATAATCTGATGTAAAACTTGGGTCATCTAGTCAATATGTGAAACAATATGTGAGGATATAATCCTATGGCATGGTCTTGCCAGTATGTAGGCCTATATAAAAATATATGGCAGTCTTTGGTCAGTTCGGTATGTGTTCATGTCTGTCTAGGAAGAAGGAGCCTAACGGTAGAATGATCTAGAATGTAGACTAGATCTAGTATCGAGCTCGAATCAGTCAGTAAACTGAGTAAACCATTCTTGGGTCAAAAACACCAGTGACCAACCAAACAAAAGCATGAAACAAAACGTGTTAAGTTTAAATTATTAATACTTTTCATCTGCACGCAACCCTACTTTTTGATCCCATAGATTTTACTTTTATTACTGTTTCAAGTCGAAAGTTAAATTTTACATATTCCGATTACTTACGTGACTAGATCTAAATGCTAATACGTTTATACTGGCGACAGTCTTGTAGCAGCCATATTGAATGTTTCTAAATCTGGCGTTGTGTGCCACGTAAGGCGAGAGTTATAAATACAGACACGTTAGCGGGAAATCCCGTTGTGTGTTGGCAATGAAAGCAACATCTTTTTAGTGGACAGGCAGGGCACTAGACTTGTTTATAACAATTCTAATAAGTGACAATGATGAGTAATGAGTAGATTGAGGTTTTATCAAAGTTTATTTAGTCATCATAGGTCAACATTACTGCAGATCTAGCCTATCTATACTGTCAACTACGGACGATTTAAAACTGTACAGCGGCAAAATTATAAACTAGATCGCATTTCTGGGCTAGTGTCTCTTACAGCAAGTGTCTAATGGGCTAGAGTCATAAGGGATAGTGTCTTAAGGGATAGTGTCTTATGGGATAGTGTCTTATGGTATAGTGTCTTATGGTATAGTGTCTTATGGCATAGTGTCTTACAGCAAGTGTCTAATGGGATAGTGTCTTATTGGATAGTGTCTTATGGGATAGTGTCTTATGGGATAGTGTCTTATAGCAAGTGTCTAATGGAATAGTGTCTTTTGGGATAGTGTCTTATGGGATAGTATCATATGGTATAGTGTCTTATGGGATAGTGTCTTACAGCAATTGTCTTATGGAATAGTGTCTTATGGGATAGTGTTTTACGGGATAGTGTCTTACTGCAAATGTCTTATGGGCTAGTGTCTTTCTGATAATCACGTCCACACGATCTAATAACAAAAGTTGCTGACATATTTGTTTTATGACAAGAACAATACACAATTGTGACTCTTATTATGGATTGAAAAAATAATTGTTGCTATTTTTAGACTTGTTTGACTTACTCGTGAGCACGTCAAACGTTTCAACACATACAATGTGTTATTGGCGTGCTGTGTAGTCTAGCGGTGGAAGTAGAGAAATAACACAACTATAATACAATTAGAATAATAAAAACAAGGTCGCTAAAATAAACAAGGGATTTTTTTTAGCAAATAATATGTTACAAGTATTATAATATAAATAATACATAGCATACGCCGCGATTTAGTTTTATTTCCTACTTTTCAGTAAATCATAATTTGTAAATTCGACACTACCAATGCTGCGACAGAATTTTTTGTGTGCTACAAATTACTATCAGTAGCTTGGGAAGGAAGATTATCCTCACCCTCCCTCCCTCTCCCCCCCCACTCCCTCAATCTCCGTGAAAGCAGCCGTCCGTGACGACAGTTTCCAGACGACAATTAAAAGATCAAGCAGAACGTGTTACCTCCCCTTAGTATCAAATAGTTTAATAGCCGTCACTGATTCGACCCGGCTCGACGATTGCAAACATTCGGCGTGAACCATTCTGCTACATTCAGAGAGCGCCAGCAGTAAACTAAACATCGACTCAGCTACACCTCTAGACAAGTAACAACCAACGAAGTCAGTACCAACACAAACAGAATCTCAGAAGCAAAACTGAACGATGGACTCCGATACAACAACAAACAAAAGGGAAAAAAAGCACGACAGCCCACCCAGTGGCGTAGCGAGGTCGGGTGTCACCCGGTGCGGCACTTAATGGTGTCGACCCCCCCCCCCAGAGGCGTTGCGACCCTTCCCGGGGACAAACTTTCAAGTTTTCGATTTGCACCCCCCCCCCCCTCAAACTTTCGATTTGTACCCCCCCCCCTCAAGTTTTTCTCTATATATTTTGCTATTTTTTGCCTTGGTGTTACCCCCCTAAATGGTGTCACCCGGTGCGATCCGCACCCCCGCCCCCACCTCGCCCACCGATAATCGAAAGACCATTCAAGACACCAAAATCCGACAACACTGAATAAAAAGACAGCAATCAACCCAATCATTAACACTGAACTAACCCAAAACGTCGAGAACAAAGAAAGCACAGAGCAAGAAGACATAAGATGCGGGCTCTTCTGGTACGTTTTGGACAACGAAGAAGATCAGATAAAACATATGAAAATGAGCATCCGAAATGTACAAAATGCTTGCACTGCAAAAACAAAATTTAAAGCAGTCGAGCAAACAGTCGCCATACGAGGAAACACACAGAGGAACATGTGTTCCGGTGTTACCACTGTGACATTTGTTTCTTCACTGAAGAGCTCTGCAGTATCCACAAGAATGAAACGCACTCGGGAAATTAAGATGAAGATGGATTCTACAAAATCAACTTGAGCGTTACATCAGACAACTAATTACTGATTGTATTAAAAAAGACACAGAATCCATTTCAACTTTATATAATAAATTTATTATGTATGTTTCATTACAAAAATAAAAAAAAAAACACCCCACAGAATCCATTTGAGCTTTATATAAAAAATACATACATATGAAGCCGCATAAATCAATTCAAGATTTATATTCCTGATTATTAGTCTGCGCTTTTTATAAAGTCTATTTATTTACGTGACGGAGTGGTCTAGCGGTAGAGAGCTGGACTGCGAACCCGTAAGTCTCGATTTCGAATCCGGGTTAAAGTCAGTAGACAGTCCCTGAGTCCACCCAACTCTGATGGGTACCTAACTCACGTTAGGGAAAGTAAAGGCGGCTCTACATAGTGCTGACCACACTATCTCTTCATAAGCCGAGTTCACAGAATCAAGTGAATTCTACTTCACTAGCCCCGTAGACCGTCAGGTTTGAAAAGGAAACTTACTTTATTTATTTACGTGTGCGTGTAGCTGTAATTGTAGGTGTTGGTGTTGGTGTTGGTGTTGGTGTGGACGTTGGTGTGTAGGTGTACTTGTGAGTTTACGTGTACGGCAAAAACTGAAACCTTGGTTTCATCCCTGTGTAGCCTAGCGAATTCTTATTATCTAAGAGACATAATTAAAACATTTTAAATACATTTTTAAAAACATTATTTTTATATAACTGCCATAGATAACAGTATTAAATATTTGTATGTTAAGGGGTGGAGGGGCTGGGTGTATGTGTACCAAAACTTTTCTTATAATATTTCTCTAAGTCAAAACAATTTTAAACTACATTTGCCCCTTGTATTGATGTGTAATATTAGCCTAATGTTTATTAGAAGTTTATTTAAAAACCCAGTTTATACGAGCGAATTACCCATGTTTACGTCATGCACTTTAATAGCTAGTTAGTATCACGAATGACATGGAAGTTGTTGAACATATATTATGAGTTGGTAAAAGCCAGTTAGCGTTACATTTTCTCAACAAAATTTGAAATCGTGTAGTATTACTCCAATCACATAACCAAATAAAATGTTGCTGTGTTATTGATGTTTCTTTTCCACCTTTACCTTTTGAGATACCCCACCCAGCCCATTCAGTAGACGGCACTATAACATTGTGAAGATATAACCCTTACACTAACCCTAACACAAAGCCTGACACTAACCCTGACACTAACCTGAAAACTAACCCTGAATCTAACCATGACACTCACCCTGACAACATAACACACTAACCTAAGCCCCATATAACACATTAAAGTACAACATAACACACTAACCTAAGCCCCACTAAATATATTACAGTACAAAATAACAAACTAACTCTAACCCTTACACTAACCCTGACACTAACCGTGACACTAAGCTTGAAACTAACCCTGACACTAACCCTGATACTAACCCTGACAATAACCCTGACATAAACCCTGACACTAACCCTATCCCTAATCCTAACCTTTAGACTGCATGACTAGACTAATCACACCCAGATAATGCATGAGTTAGTAGAACAAATAATATGTGGGTCGACGTTCAGGTAATAATTGGCTAATTGTATCAATTAACCAAAGGTACTCAGTTTGTCATTCTATGTGGTTTTATATGATACACGCTTTTTTGTCTTGTGATTTCCGCGTGATAAAAGTTTACTTTGTCATTTCATGAAGTTTTCATGCAAATCACATACACCTGAAAATTAAACACATACGGCCTATATTTTATGGTTCTCCTGGACATAAACCCTCTGGACATAAACCCCCTTGACAACCCCCCCTACAAAAACCCCCTGGACATAAACCCCCCTGGACAAACCTCCCCTACATAAACCCCCTGGACATAAATTCCTTGGACAACCCATCCTACATAAACCCCCTGGACATAAACCCCCTGGACAACCCCCCCTACATAAACCCCCTGGACAACCCCCCCCCCCCCGCGACACAACCCCCCCTGGATAATAACCCCCGACTGAGTTTTAAATAAGGACATAATATATATCAACGGAGCCAAACAATATATTAAATTAGTTTAATTTTAACGATTAACAAATAGTTCCTACCTAAAAGAATGCTAATCAAAAATTCAAAGAGCAGCCTTGGTTGTATTTGATAAAAGATCGGACACCAACAACATCTTAGATATATGTCATACGCAGAAAAAACATGTCTATGTCTTCTACAACTTTAACAATGTGTGAGTTAATAAGCTCTCCAGCTCAGAATGCTACATACGTTGGCTTTTGTGCCAACTGAACACATAAGTAATGCTATTGATACAATATCTGAAAATTGCCCCCAAAAGCAATTCCGATTGCAGACCCTTTTGAGGACTACCATATTTGTTTACATATATGTTTTTAACATAGGCCAGCTCAGGGCCTGGCCGAGACGGCTAGTAAAAAATAAGGCATATCATCGACAAAAAAACAAATTAATACCTTAAACAATATGATAAAAACACCACGCTGTAAAAGGAAACTCGCTAAGGCACTCACATTTACCAACACATCATTCATTATTTTAAAAATATATCCAATTTATCCCCAATATCTAATTCATGTGTCGCACATAGCAACCCACACCAGTCCTTCTCGGTGTTTGACCAATCCACCTTCCATTCATTTATAATGACCTTTGAACTTTTGCAACCATTGAACCACAATCTACAACTGGACTTTCTCGCCTCACTCTTATCAAAAACCACATGTATGGCTGGCAACACAAGAACCTCCCACCACACTTTGCTGGGTGTGTCCGAGTGGTCACATTCAGGACATGGACAAGTTCTGTAGGTTGGCCACTCCATTC